CTTTTTTGCCGAATTTCAAAAAACTGAAGCGACAGTTTTGTTCAGAATTTTTTGCTGATTCCGAAAATATATATTTTATCTTATTTTATTGGGGGCCGCAAAGTGGCCTTATCCGCCTCCCTCCTTTGTAAATGTTTCAAATTTGAAACTATAAGTAAATGACTAAGATAACGCATTACCGATAAAGAATCAGTATGATGATAATTATAAACTTTTAATGATGAGACATTTAGATATTTATCTCGAATATCTGCTCTCTCTTTTACCGATTGATCAAGCCATAATTCTAAATGTTGAACACTTTCAAATAGTTTATCATTATCATTCATTGTTAACGTTTCCATAGATAAACAGGTAGTATATATTGTTTTTTAAGTGGTCGACTGTAATAATGTAATGTTGAATTAATTCTATCATGATCACATTGAATAAACCATTCATGTTCAATCCAAAATCGAGTTTGAAATGAAAAAGCAAAGATGTTTAGTTCTTCTCTAGTATAGCTAATATGATCATTAATTATATCAAAATGAACTCTTTTTAATTCTGACAGTGATATTAGCAACTTTTCATACTGTTTACCATCGATTAATTTTCCTTTACCATTGAACGTCAACGATAGATACTGTAACTGTAAACATTGTTTCAATAACCATTCAATAAATTCAAAATTTAAAAGACCAATTGTTAATATCAAATGTGTTAATTTTAAACTGGTAAATTGTATTAATTGGGATTCATTACATCTAAATAATTTTACATTTAAATATGTCATATTTGGCAAACATCGGAAGAGTATTATTAATTGATCCAAATAAATATAATCAATAGTTATAAATTCTAAATTTCAATTTCCATTATTTAACCCAGTCAAACTGGTATGTTTGTGTTCATCAAAAGCGTAAAAGATTTTAATGTTAATGACGAATTTGAAAATATTGTTGTACGAATTATATGTTGAATATCTGTATAATTATATAATGCATTTGTTTTGATTAGAAAATATGAAAGTTGTGTCAAATATTTTAATTTATTTTGAATTCGTTCCAGCTGAGATGGTGTTGGTAAAATTAGTTTAAACAATTTTAATCGTGTTAATTTAGTAAAAATATGTTCAATATCATACATTGATAACAATAATTCGACAGCACCAAATGTTCTCTCATTTGATAAAGTTAACGATTTTATATGAGTATGAACAATGATTGGTAGACCGATTGAACAACAAAAATCGAATTCATGCTTTGTTAACACAGATAAATCTAAATCAATTTTAGTATCTGGATCCTCGATAAGAGAGTTTAGTCGACTCTTCAAGTTATAAAATGATAAGATACGAGCAGTTATTGGCAAATGCTCGAATGTAATTAATAAAATTTCGTTTGAAAGATCTCCAAGCATAGAAATTGACATCTATACAAATTAAAACAAAACGTTTATTTCAGATGATATCATTAGACTTTCAAGGAGATTTTTCTCCTTTTACGCACAGAATTAATCAACCCAGAACGAATGATATTTGTCACTTGTATTGTACAGGTCAACATTCTCTTCCTATGGATAAATGCTTTCTCTATCTAATCGGAACTTACTTGGTGTAGGTGCTTCAAAGTTTTGTAATCGGCAAGAATTATCCTATTCTCGAATATTAAACACAGTTAATCCTAATCAGTTCTACCTGATCAAAAGACATAATATAAATACTGTGTACGTCTTCCTCTGACCACAGTAACTGTGCGTATGTTACTGACAGAAAATGGTTTAGTTAATGTTTGGTTACGTAATGCTGAAGCTGACGGTTGGACTGGTGGTCAATTAGCCGGTGTATAAAATACATTCGATGTTTATGAAAAATATTTTAAAGAGCATCAAGCAATGGCTATAACATAAGATTTTAAAATATTATATACAACCACATTTAATATTATAATTAATAATTCAAATTTAAAATTAAATAAATATACACAACGAGCTATTGATCAATTAACAGATGATTTTTATGAAAATTTGTATCAAAATTTATTAGATGCATGGGATACACATGTCAGTGTATCAACTAAAGTTGGTGGAATGAATGAACAACAAATACAATTTAAAAATTGTATTCGATATACAATAGAAGTGAGTGACGGTTTAATAAAAAGAATTTTAGAAGATAATTTAGAACAAGAATTATTAGAAAAATAACCATTCAGCGATCGTTATTATTATTCAAGACGAAAACGTTTATTAGGTCATCGTATTAGTGGCAGTATACTGTTAATTAATAATAATACAATTGATAAGGATGATAATGAATGGAAAAAGACAATTGTTTATAATCCAGCATTATTAACTGTTCAAAAATATATACCATGGTACGATTTAATAAAAAATAATTAAAAAATAAAAAAATGAATTTAAAACAAGCAATTGATTTTTGTATTAATCGTATTAATTTAATACGTAAACAACAAGTAGAACAAATATATCAAGAACGTAGACAAATGATATTATAAGCTAAAATTATTCGACAATCATATGATTATAGATGGACAATTGGAAATGATATTGAATTAAAAAATGGTAATAATTGTACAAATTTAGATAATATACGATTAATAGCAGAATGTAATACGTGTACAATGATCAGCGTATGTCCATTAGATTTAACAGATATTGATAAACATATTTATATTGAAATAAACAGGTGCATTTCGTGTTGTTGCACGACGTCAGTATGGACAACGTAATGATACAATACGAACTGGTTTTCAAAGTAATATTTTAGAACTTTTTCAAATATTTTAGAAAAAAAACAACAGTTCGCTTCCTTTTTTTATTTTAATTTCGATTTTGATATCAATGGTGAAGGGATCGAAAGTAGTGGTTTGTTCAAAAATAACTGATAAATGTGATCTATACTCGGGTTCAGATATTATTTATTTATGTTCTGGATGTAATATCGAACGTCAAACGAATCAAAGTCGACGACCAATTAATTGTAAATGTTCATGTTTTACTTATCCAATTGATCAAGCTAAACCATATTTACCATACTGTTAAAGTTTTCGAATGTGAAGTGTTCAAATAACTGCCTTTTCTTATTTACCTTATTTCGAACGTTTTCTGGTTCTGCTTTCAAGCAATCGAAATAAGAAATTAATCGTTTGTATGAACGTATTTCGTTCCAGCAGAAATCATTCGTGCATCCGATTACATTGTAAACTGAACAGATTTTCTCAATTTATACTTAGAATTAGGGTTAAAAGCAAAATAATTCGTCATTCCCTTGACTCTAAGTTTAAATTCATATTTCTGTCTTTCTGCTACTTTCATTGGTGATCGAGGTAAACTTCGAGATCAATGTAATGCATCCCAAGATACGAGCGGCTTATGTCAAATGAAATAAATTGTCTTTACGCCGGTGTGTGCCGCGTCCACTTACTTACATGTTTTTATAGTAAAAAAAATACGTTTTTTATTTAACTGTTGAATATTCCTAACAAGAAACATTTCACTGTGGGAAAAGTTTTTCATTAGAGGAAATTTCGAGAAGTATGTAACTCGACGAGCTCTGCAGCATACCAGGAAAAAGAGCGGTCTTGCCACTAGATTGGGGTTTCGTTAAATTCTGAAATGAATTCTTGTTTTAGCGCTGAGACTGAAATCGTCATCATAGAGATGAGTTTTAACCCATTCGAGAATCAATCATTTTTGACGATCATTTCACAGTATTACCAGGGTTGCCAGATGTCCCCCCCCCCCATAAGGGGAACAATCCCACATTAAAAAATTTGTCCCCCAGCATGTCCTTTTCAAGGATACTTTCTTTTGACCGCCTTCGATGGACTTTCATGTTTGTATTACGCTTTCCGTTTAACAGACTTTTATGAGATTTCACATAAGAAATAGCATTAAAAGCAGAATTGAAAATTCGAATTTAGTTGAAAGATCTTACAAAGACCTTTCAACTAAATCATTAACTAAGAGCATTAATCACGAAAATTTAGCATGCAATAATTTTCATGATTATGATCTATGATTTTGAATAAAAAAGACGCCCCTAGTAAGAGCATTCGTGGAATGAAAATATGAACCCATTAGTAAAAAATAACGTCTAAATTGACCGTTTAGTGCTTTTTGTGTGATAAAAGATGGTTATATTGAATTTTATGTTTTGACATAGTAATACTAGAAAGACCAGAGTAAAAGACTATACTCACGTGCGTTTAATTTTCTCAATGATATCGCACGACAAATAATGTGTTTTGTATTGTTTCCCTTTGTAGAAAAAATAGTTCTCCTTTTTCCAAAATTTGTTCCCCTTTACTTCTTTTTCAGTTGGCATCCCTGACTATTACCGAAATACAGGCTTTTTTAAAAGAAAACACTTGGTCCGATCTCGGGGAAAAAACATCGCCGATATTCTTCGAAATGAAATTCTAAATGAAAGATGACGTGCTTTTTCAATTTTGTAGAACAACGTTTTCTTCAGACCAGAGAATATACTTGTGTGCATATGACCAAAATCATTAATTAAAATGATGTTTGTGGCCGTGATTTAACATAGGCGGATATTTTTGGCTGTTTTTCGACTTCGGCATGATTGCGTTTTAATTTTGGATAGTTGTCTAAGACAGTGGCATCAGCGTTTAATAACGTCGACGCCTTATTATAAAATTCTATATCAGCGTATGTCAATTGATTACCTAAAAAGTATGGACCATCTTGCCCATACGTTGTTAATAACTTTTCCAAATTCGCTAAAGCTTTTAGTGCGTCCTCTTTGAAAAACGTTTTTAAACCTTCTTCTTTTTTACTTTGATCTCTTTCGCGATGTATCAGTTTTGAATATATTTCACTTAAATCACCGATTGTATCAGCAACACTATCAACTCTGGCTTGTTCTAAATTGTCTTTACCAGCTGAAGTGAATTGTTTGGCAAGAAAACGAACAATTGTCATTGATTGTGGAATTCTTTGTCCATAGACTTCTATATAGGGTACTTGTCCCAATGGCGTATCATTTTTGATACAATCCCAGTTGGCACGTTCAATACGAATATCTTCGTATTTTTGACCAGCTTGTGCGAAGGCTAAACGTATTATTTCAGCTCGTCCACGACCATTAAAATAATGTAATTTATAAGTTGTCATGGTAATATAATTAAGGTGATTTCTAATGCCCTGTGTTGTTGTCTTAAACGTTTTATGAAAGAAAATTGGTAGAGAGCTCTTGCAAATACTCTACTATATATATATAAAGAGTGTTTTGCACTGTCATCATTATTATATATTTTCTTATTTTCCTCGTTATTCTCCTCATTTTTTACCAATATGAAAGCAATCAACATGATATTGAGTTGTTCAACTATCCCAGAATCAACTTTAAATCGGTCGGCGTGTATGCGTTGTATGTCACTGCTTAACTCTTTTCTCGTATGCAGGGGCATGTGCCTCATGGGAGGAAGAAACAGCGGCTCTTCATGTTATTGTTAAGATGAAATTTGTATTTAGGTCTATAATGCTAAATCGAGCCTACGAACATTGCAGAAAGCTGAAAAGTTTTGACGGTTAGTGTCATAAGTACTCTAGTGTCTGTTTCTCAAGTCATGGAACCCCTTGTAACGTACAGAAGGTAAAATATAAGGATTGATTTATACCCGACAATTTGGTACATAGCAACTACAAACAGTGTAATGAACTAATGCACATTTTTGTCCTCCCGGTAGTATTTAAAAGAAAAAAGTAAATTCGTGTCATTTCCTGTATGTATGTTGTTGCTAATGACTTCTGTTTGATTCGAAAACTTCAATATTTTAAAATAAATTAATATTGTTGATCATCTCGTACAATTAATACCCACACTTTTTTCTTCCAGGTGGCGACGAAGTTGTTCAGCGTTTGCTGGAAGTTCTAGTGTAGCATGAGCTCTCTCATAGTCATTATGTTATTTTAAAGAGAAGTGACGGAAGAAATCTAAATATGCAAGCTAAACTTGAACAAACAACCGTACTTACTCAGGAAAAACTGCACTTACTTAGAAACGCATTTTCTCTGTTCGACTTAACATCAGCACTGGAAGTATTTTTATGTTGAATTCGCTTCTCTTAATCGTCCATGACTGGAAAAAAATAATGGCTATTACACTTGTATAAGAATGTACAAAAAGTTTGACCACCATCCCAATTCTAAAAGCTAGAATTGAAATTGGTGCATACACAGAGCAAAACAAAGAGTTATAGGGGTTTTCCAGTACTTCTTAACTATTAGACAAGCAGGATTAGAGCCAGATGCCGAGGTAACTATACTCTCACACTAAACTCTCTTCTGCTATACAGTTTGACCAAATGTTACGGAATTTCCTTTTTTCGTCTTCTGTGCCCCTTATCTCGGCAAAGAAGCAACTTATATCAATGAAATCTATACCAATGATCGATATTAGGGAGTTCTACTACAAAAAATAACTTCAGCTTGAATGAACAACCAGATCAAAAGTTATAGTCAAAATAGAGACCGTTACGGATTTTCAAAAAAAGTGGAAGTGATCTTCGGCGTATTTCAGTAAAATACAAATTATTCAGCATTAAATTAATTTTAAAATGAATGTTTATTACCAAATTAAAGCTCACAGTTTGGGCTATCAGAATAACTACTGACTTTTTCTTGAATTTGTTCCCTGGCAGAGGAAATCCAATTAACCGTTATGTTAATTTAATCGGCTATTTCTCGGTTTTGCTGGTGAACAATTATCGGCAAAGAGTTTTCGTTTGTGATGATGAATCAGATCAGGGTATATTTCGATATTGTAGGCTGTAATATGTTCGATATGGTAAACAAGTGTTTTCCTAGCTTTTTCGAATGGAGGCTGATAAATTCTCTTTCAGTCTACTCTTCAATGAGATATTCTTAAAATTTTTTCATTAGTTTCAGGAACACAGCTGATTAGATTTAATTAATAATTTTTTGATACTGCCACTGATCCTCTTTTTGCTAAACAGCAGTTTTTGAAACAGCACTCAGTTAACCACAAATTTAGATTACAGGATATCCCTGCAGTTTTCATGAAGAGCTTTAACTCTCATAGAACGAAGCTAACAGGAGGTTCAATGATGAGATCAGTTAGATAAGTCCATTGTGATAATTTTCTATATTCTCGGAAGAAATGAATCAGCTCTTAAGTTCAGAACTCACTGAAAATATGCTTACTAACAATAGAGAACCGACGACCTATTATTCCATGCTCGCTTAACTCCTTGTATCTTCTCTTTCGACATATTATTCTTGAATATAGAAAGATAAGTCAATGTTCCATTTATCTTCAATGCTTCAGCGATCGCCATTGCGCCTTGATCCGATATATTATTCTGGGATATCCCAAGCTTCGTCAATGTTTTATTTATCTTCAATGCTTCAGCGATCGCCATTGCGCCTTGATCCGATATATTATTCTGGGATATCC